GTTGGCCACACAAACACTGGCGGCAGTGCTGGGAAGAGAGAAGCCCCTGCCTCGGGCTGGGGACTGGGTGCGTTTCCCAGAGAGGTTAGTGCACAGCAGCTTTGGAATCAGATAGACCCCGAGTCCAGTTCTGGCCCTGCCTTTCTTGAACCTTAGTTTCCATATCTGTAAAATGGGAATAATAATTATTTTGTGACATAAAAGTATTCCAAAATTATTTCCATTGTACACTAATGAGTAGTTTTGTAGATGGAAGGCAGAAGGAGAGGAATAATAAAGTCTTAGAAAAGCCAGTATGTTTGGGGCAGGGCTAGGGCACCTGGAGTGGCTGTGGGAAAGGAGGCTGGGCTTGATCCTAATGAAGGCCGTTGAGTGCCACTCTCAGGAGTTTGGGGTGGTAGTGGGGTTTTTTGAATGGCTTTGAGTAGGGAAATGACAGCGGTCAGGTTAGTTTTTAGAGCTCTCCAACCATAGTGGGAATGGATGGGAGAGGCTGGAGGCTGAGAGGGCAGTGAGGAGCTGCCCGAGGGACCCAGGTAAAAGTCAATGAGCCCTGAGCTAGGCAGTGGTGAAGGGAATGGATGGAAAGGCCTGGTCTAGACAAAAGCATAGGAGGTGGTGAGATCTAGTGGACTGTGGTGAAATGTCTTATTGGATGTTGAGGGTGAAGGAAGGGGTGGGGGCAACAAGCATGTCAGTGAAAAGACAGATTTCTTGGGCACAGTTTGAGCAAGCTGGTTGTGGGGTCACAGCATAAGAGGAGAAGGAATCTCAGCTGTTGAGGTCTTTACCACCTCAGGGGGAGGGGTATGATAGAAGCCACAGTGCCAGGGCAGCATGTGACAAATGCCCCTGATGGGACCTAGAAACACTTCTATTTGTTCAACCTTCTCAAGGCCATAGGAGTAAACCTCTTTGAGAAAATGTCATTACTCTCTCAGGCTTGAGTTGACCAAGAGTATAAGAAAAAACATTCTAGATAGAGCATGTGCTGAGGCTGAAAAGCACCTGGTGCCTTTAAGGAAACTGAGGGAAGGCTAGTGGCATACCAGGTTTGTGGGGGACATTGGGGGATGGTATGTGCAAAAGCTGGGAGGTAGGAACAGGTGTGGTGTATTTCTGGGTAAAGAGGAATACAGCCAGGTGGATGCTGAAGATGCCACTGAGTTCTTGCATCCTCTCCCTAAAGGTGTTTTTGGGTCTTCTGGGGAAAAAGACTCCTGCTGGCCTGGAAGGGCCCCAGGTCAGAGTGTGGATGTGCCTACTCCAGAAGGGTCTCCTGTGGAGGAGCCTTGAGGTGGAACCCATGACCCACCCACTCACCTCATAGTATGATCTAAGGGGCAAAGCTTGGGCTGGGAGGCAGGAGGCCTGGAGTATGGCCTTTCCTCTACCACTGACTTGTCAAATGTCCTTGGGCAAGTCTTTGTCCCAGTGTAGATTTCAGTTTCTGCATCATGAAATGGAGGTGACAGTTTCTATATTGCTGACTTCATTCCAATATCTGATGATCAAATGAAATTACACATGTAAAAGGGTGTTACCGCTATGCTATGAAAAGTAAGATATTATCTCAAACGGCAGGATCTTGGGTCTCCAAGGCCTCTTTGACACATTCAAATCCTAAGTTCATCTACTTCAGCACATTTTTCCTGTGCCCCTTCCTGGGCCTGGATTTCATTGGAACATAGAGGGTAATCAGACATAGCCCTTGCTTTCAGGGAGACCCAACCAAGAGATAGTGTCCCAAAGCCAATGCTTGCAGCCAGACAGCCAGGCTGTGGTGCAGAGGAACGTGGGAGGCTGTGCTGGGTTCAGCTCTTCCGCCTGCGCTGTCACTGTTTGTCTGC